GAAAATCAGTGCGCCATTAACGAGCGTTAAAAACGTTGCGAAGTCCGGGTTTTCGGCAACATAACGTTGAATCAACAGCGATAAAATTGCAGTCGGTCCTATGGATGAAGCAAGAAAAAACGAGATCCAAATGTGTCACTGCAATTTTGAAATGTTTGAAGACGGATCTACCAACCCACTAAAAATGAACGCGTGAGAATAAAAGACTGACGCTACCAGGTTTTTCGCAAAAGCGGAATAAAAATCAGTTGCACGCAAAAGAGACATTTCAAAAGGTTGCACGCAAGGGAGAAGTATATTGTTGTTGTAATCACGGCTTTAAAATTCAAAATGCGACAAAATAAAATGTTCCGTTTGCGTGCAAACTTTTGAAATGTCTTTTTTGTGTGCAACTGATTGTTATCCCGCTTTTGCGAATAACCTGCTAGCGTCAGTCTTTTATTCTCACGCGTTCAAATGATTTACCTATTGTTACATCCTTACTGCTACCGAAAATTAAATAAACAAATGAGCCGATGAAACCGGAATAGAGGCCATATTGTGGAGGAAGACCAGCGACAATTGCATACGCAATACCTTGTGGTATGGCTGTTAGGCCGACCGTCAAACCGGCGATAAAATCGTAAAACAAATAGCACAGTCGATATGTTGGCACCCATTTCAATATCGGCAGACGATTCACTAAAATTTGCTTTCGATCATTGTACATTCGGCGCACATTTCGATTGAGTATACTGCAAAGCGGTGGCCACTGTTCCGAATAATCATACGAATAGTCTGCAGAAAGGGAATAAACACATTCATTATCTTTGCACAGAGAGGAAATGTCCACAAAAAATTACACATGTTTATAAATAAGAAATCAATTTTGCAGCTATAATTGGGTGTAGTTATTTATGTGCGCAAAATTTACGAGAAACAGAAAACTGAATTACAAAAGTATGCCTTGAAAAAATACGAAACAGAAAAATCACAAAAATATGCCCAAGAGAGGGAGAGAGTGGAAAAAATTTGCAGATTACACATTTCATTGAGCCGGAATCACATAAAAAGTGCTGTTATTCTGAAATCGAATCGCATTGATATGCGCGAACAACAGAAACGTGTTTGCCGCCACATTTGAGTCACATGATATGTTTAAATCAATGCAGCAAATTGCTTTATGTCACTATTGATGATAAGAAAACAGAATGTTTGCATGGAATCACATGATTTGCATCGGCAATTAAATGACTTGCATTCAACGGAACTCTGACATGAACATTAACCACCTCTTTTTGCAACAACTTTGAACAAACAACAAAGAATTGATCACTTTGCTTATCGTAAGACAAACGGCTAATTCGATAAATTGACATGTCTTGTTATGAATTAGAATTGGAATCATTTCTGTGTAGAATTTGAAACACATCTGTGCACGTTAGATTGGAATTAAAAACTCTGCACAATATATTTTCTTTTCATTTGAAGGCAACGAAAAATGTTTGGTTTTCAGAAAATTGTGAATTTGACACAAAACAAATTGAATTTGATTGAGAAAAGTTCATTAGCACTGAACTTAAGAATACCTTGTTTACCTGTTCGCTGTTGAGCTATGCTGCTCACATCGTCGATGCTGCTTTCGAAAGGAGTAGCCATTGTTGACAGCAAATCTCCCCAATCTTGGTATAGTCACAACTTTTGGCTCTTCTGTGGAGAAGAAATTTAAAAAAAATTATTAAAAATTGTTCGTATCCGTCGGATTTTGAATCGTTATTAGTTTAATATTTCTTCGGATCCTTTTTCAAATGTCTTTTCTACGTTCTGTACTGGCAATCGGCTTTTCTACTTCGTCGGCTTCATTTTTTTCTCTCTTCTTTTCAAACAACATCAAAATCAGCACCAATCATTTCTTCAGAAGTCATATGATCAAATTGAATATTGGAATCACTTGGCTGAGAGAAATGTGAGCGAATGACTGACCAAAAGAGAGATTCGCAACGAAACATTTAAGCTATGTAACTGTTGATTGGGCGAAAAAAAACCATTAAAATTCAAATGATAAAAACGTTCAACTTTGTTGCTTGGGGAAGTTCTATTTGATTTTTTGATGTTAATATATATTTTGCTTTGGTTTCGCATACTTGACAATGATAATTCTTGACCTGGAACACTCGTGGAGAAAAAAAAACTCGTCAAACCACTAAACCGCAATTAGATATTTTGTCATGTGACTGATTGAGGCAATGGGTTTTGGTATTTCAATGGATTGTGTTAGGTGTGTGTTTTTTTAAATATAAAACACGCGCGATTTAGTAATTTCGAAACTGCCGAAATTTAGTAATTCTGCAAATGGCTCTATATATCAAGAATTCACTAGCGTCACTTGTTAAATACACTCACGTTCGAAGTTTGAAAATTATAATCTCATAGGTCGTTGTCTTCTTCATTTGATTTTTTAATTTTTTTTTTGGGAATAAATGTTTCAGAGACAACGTGCCATTTTTTTTCAAAAATCACCAAAGGCGCTGAACTTTGAAAAAGCCAACACAATCATTTGCGCTCGCGATTGGCTTCATTACTCCGAAACCATAAAGATAATCATTCATACGTGCATTAATTGAATTCGGTTTGTCTCGTAACTGACACTAAATTATTTTCATTTTATGACACCGACTGTTTTCCCATGATAAAAAGTGCCATTCAGTCGCAGCTATAAATGCATTAAAATCATACTCAGTCTTGTCTATTGGGGGAAAAAATCGAGTGAAATATAAATCATCTGAAATCTGGGAATCCCAAAATTTACAAAATTTATTACGTTGAGAGAGCCGAAATTCTGTGTGGCCTGAATAAGTTGATGTGTTATGCTCACAGATGGTGTGCTACGTGCAGATAAATTGATTTTGGCACTTTTTTGGAGTCGATTCCAATTCGATGTGGATTGAAAGTGAACTGGCTGTATTGCAAGTGGCATTGTTTTAAAATTGTTAGCATTCCACTCAAGTTGAATCAAACAATCAATGTATTAAACACTCAATAAAGAAAGTTGTTCAAATTTCAATGTCAATATCAGCTGTCCAGTACTGGGTTCAGAGAACTGAGTTCGATAATCAAAACAGAAACTTGGACATACTTCGAAAGGGAAATCGTTGTGGTCTACAAAGTTGTAATCGTTCGTAATTTCAAAAACGTCAATCGAACAAAAAATATTCTTTTTGAACCTAAAGTCATTCGACAACGAAGTGAAGAAAAAATGGGATAATTACATTCAAAAAAAAGAACGTTGGCAAGATTTGTGATGAATCAATTATGTTCATCAAATCATTTCCGTGATCACTGGAACAGATAAGAATATGAAGTAATCTCATTCATAAGACAATTTCTTCTGAACGATGACAATTTTGACATTGTTGTTACTTGATCGTCTTCTTAATTAATTATTGATTGAAATTGACATTTCTGTGCACCCATGTCGTGTTTTCTACGAAAGAAAAAATTTCTTTCTCTCTTCCCAATCAAATGATATGCCTGAAACTTCTATATAACCACAAAATGAAAATAAAATCGCTAGACCTGATCACTATCGTTGCCGTCCGTGTCGAATGAACGCCATACAAACCAATCAATCGACTGTGTTCTGGAATGTTCCATTCTGTTGTAATTTTGACATCGCTTCGAAACTGACTGAGGATAATTAATTTTTTTTCTTCATTCCATATTTGTTAATTCGAATTTTGGTGAAGAAAAAAAAATTCCGCTCAATTTTTATATGAAAAATGTTTTTTTTTTTATAAAATCTAAACGAACGTATGTTACTCTTGCGCTACTGCAACCAATACAGAAGCAAATGTATTGTGTTGTGACTGTCTGTGGTTTCGTTCGCTCGGCTTGAATATTTTTCATTCTGCCTCTCCGTATAATTCGCAAGGCAACGAATGCATACGTTTTGTGTTAAATACAATCTGAAACGCATATACTTTTGAGGGCCTCTCAACTGTCGAGTTCGATACTCACGACCGAGGGTAGCGACTGCAAGTTCGTACATGTGCACGCCCGGCAGCTGTATGGCTGTGGTATATGCGCTCTCCGTCGTGGGATTTACGTACTTATGTACGGCGTGTAGAAATCAAGAAATTTTTTTCTTCCGTTTTCCAAACTGTATTTTCTATCAATTTGCCTGAGTCATTTGCCGGCTAATATGACTTTGATAATATTTTTCTCTGTTTTTGATGGTTTTGGTTTCTGATACGACTTATTATTATCGATGGCGTTTAAGGTCTTAGGTCAAACCCAGATCGAAAATTGCTAAAATCATTCTGAATGATTCATTAATTTGTTTCCCGGAGAGAGGAAATGAAGATTATTATCAATTACGTTACTTCCAAAGTGATTTAGTAAATAAAGTAAACAAACGACCATTTGGCACACCGAGATCAAGAGCCGTTGTGATTAGCTAAAGCAAATTTATTACACGAACAAATGGGCAAAGATAAGAAAAATGAATAACTTTTTATTTATTTTAAACGAAATGCATGACTTTTCCTGGTGTTGACGTATGCATTTTGAATTGAAATTAATCGAAATATTATATAATAATTCGAGAAATTCTGCATTGAACAGAAGGACATCGTTTGAAATGAAAATAAAAAAGAAAATATGCCAGTGCTTTGAAAGCAATGCTTTTCCAATTGCAATAATATCAATGAATAATGACTTAATTCGGTGACATCAAAATCTAAAAAAAAAGATCACATTGTCTAACGGCTTTAAAAGCGTTGCTCATTTTTCTCCGGCGACATATATCCCATTTTTAGCACGCGTTGCAATAAATGTTTTTATTAGAATGTTGACATAATAACTGTGCAATTTCTCACGAATGCTTTCGTTTGACACAAAGTATATGGAATCCGGTACATGTTTAAAATTGCACTCGAAATTGAAGTATGGGATTGCGAGAAAGTGAGCAAATAGCAATATTTGTCAAACATATTTCTTATCGCAGAGTTTTCATTTGTCAAGCTCTTGAAATATATAGCACACATAAACGTTTCTAACATGAAAATTTGAATGAATATTTAAATTTTATGCTCATTTTACAAACTATAATTTGAACTAACTGTAAACAAACATTAAAATTGTGTTGAGAGAAGTGGGAGAATCTCTGCTTCGTATTTTATGCATGAAAATAGTGAAGAAAAAAAACACAAGGGAAGAATACTTAAGTTGCTTCAAAGGCTTTGTTCCGCAGAGTTTTAATGCTAACGTTGAAATTTCAAATGAAAATTAAAGTTTTGAGTGACAACAAAAGCAGCGTTTCTTGGAAAGCGTCTATACCGGATTTTTGATTGAATCTCCTTTTTGATTGAAATCGGATGTACGTATGAAAGTTGATTGATTAAGAGATTAAGTAATCGAAACGACTAGATATCAACTCTAAAGCATGATGATCAATTGAGTGGAGGAGCCCAGTGAGAGTTTACAGAGTATGCATTAGTCATGAAGACAATATTCGATTCTAAAAAAATTCATTCAATCGATGAGTGCTTCAAAAAAAATCTGCTGCTCTCCATCCATATGCTAACTAGATGTCCTTCTTCCGTGATTTATGTCATTCCAATGTTGTTGATAGTAAAAAAAAGAATGCACTTGCACGTATTTGGTGCCATCAAAGGAATGCGTTGCCCATAAATTACCGACCATTCTATTTATCTGCGCATTGTTTAAAAATAGCTGTAAAAGTGGCCAAAAAGGTGAACTAAGATAAGACTTTCGTTAATTGCCATATAACAATAACCGACTAGGCAGTAAATAATGGGCCGGTTTAAAAACTTTTTTTCGAAGAATTTTCCGCGACAAATTCTATCCGCAGACTTGAATGCGACTTCAATCGCTCTCATCCCGATTTATCCATCTGGAAGTCATTCAGCTGGTACGAGTGCAATCTGTCAGTGTTTATCAACACTTGAATGACTGTTTGTTGTTATTACAATTTTTCCACGTCCCACATCTGTACATCATAAGGCGATAATTCCATTTTATCTAGCCCTGGTTACATTAAACAATTTAATAGTAATGACACGATTCAAACAATCCGAAATAAATGAACAAACAAACAAAATCAATATATCGAGTTACAACAAAGTTTGATTTGTTTCAATTTGTATTGGAGTTTCATTCTTGATTGAGTCTTGACAAATGCAATCTATCGGTCAGTTGTTCGTTGCTTACTTAGAAACGATGCAGCATAGACGTGATGTATGCAAATGGGACAGCTACGAGAAAAAAAGAGCACGAAAAGGTGAAGCATGCATCCATTCGCGCTTGGTCACCCGTGTATGTTTCATGTTACGGAGAGGAGCGTGTTTAGGAAATGAATGCAATCTAAATCTGCACCAGCGCGATTTGAGCACTTGCACACACAACCGAAACGATTGCATTCAAATGGGTAGAGCACAAGTTTTCGGTTTATTTGTTTTCAAAATAAGCACATGTTTTCCATTGATTTCTTTCAAATAAATAATTACTTCCGGTCATTTAATCAAATAAATCCGCTTTGATCACAATTTTGTGCTGAATAATGATGACTATAAGGCCAAGTAGGTTTGCCGGTTTCAAGTGGAACGAGCAACAAAAGGAAAACACATTCAACAAAATAATTTGCAACATCACAAACATCAGAAAAAAAATGTCAATTGATTCAGTCCGAACATGATGCAGAATTCTAAAAATAGAAACAATGCCGAAAATTGACCACTCTTCCGTACATTGATGGGCCGCGAATGAAAAAGAAAAAAAACGAGAAAAGAATGTTTGTGTGAACTCACTCAATTTGGTCAGGCCAAAAATGCAGTGTGATTTATTTTTGGGATAGTTGGTTGTGACTGAAAATGCCCGAATCTGACTGTTGCACACACATTTGCTCAGCCGACTTGTCGTTTTCTGTGATCCTTTTGGTGATTTAATTGTTGCTGTTTCTGCGTTTTGGCGCTAAGTAGTGGACTTTCCTTCCTCGTCGTTGACGTCGGCAAAATATGTGATGCGATTTGTGAGTTTTTATTTATTTTCTCGTGTCATTCACATCACAACAAACCAAACATTCAATGTTCATTCACATTTTTATTGGACAAATTACTGACAATTATTCATTTAACTGAATCACAATAAAATATGTTTTGTGTTGTTGTTTTATGTTTTTATTCGTGTATTTTTCTCTTTTACAACAGCCGCCCCAGATCTCTGTGTATAATGTGACGACGACTGTTTGAATCGTGTGTGCAAATGACTGCGAAGAATCTTGACTTTGTGAGTACTTTCACACACAATATGTAACTAAATGTACAAATAGAAATTTATGTGTAATTTATACACATCAAATACTGTCAACAGCAGCAGCAACACCGCACTCTCTCACTCACTCACCACTCTCTGAATTCTCTCACTGCCGTCTCTCATTCTCGTTTACGCGCTCGCGCTCTCTCTCTCTCTCTCTCTCTCTCTCTCTTTCTCCCTCTCTCTCTCCCTCTTTGCGTGTGTATGTTCGCTAGCCGAGAGTGTCGCATGTGACGTTTCATCTATAGTATTTACACCACTTTCCACGTTCTCGTTCCAATACGAATATAAGCATGCGCATGTATTTGTATTTGTATTTGTATTTGTATTTGTATGTCAGAGAGACTCGCATTCGATGATATTGTATACCCAACTGCCTGCTTGCTTGCTTGCTTTACAACCGTTTGAAATTCTATTTGTTTAGCGCAATGCATGCAAAATTGCGCGGTAAATTCTCCAAAAAATAATTACGATGCACTTTTTTTCTTGCACTGTTTTTCAAACCATGCAAATTTTTTTTTTTTATTGGAAATGGCGACGGTAAGGTCTATCAAGACAGCAAACTCGTGATATCGGTACATGGTTTCTTTTGTCAGGGGAAAAATTAAATTGAATTATTTAAAAATGAGACGTCAGTTCAATTGAAAACAGAAGAAAAAACATTTTTTATTCAAAATCAAAAAAATAATTTGTTTTTCATTGCTATATATTGCACATTTTTAATCAATGAATCTCGAGGCCATTGCCCGCTGTCTTCAATTTGTATTGACTTCCATCAATGTTTCTGCTTTTGGATTTCAAGACGAGTGTGTTGGCAAGTGTTGACTCCATCAAAGATGAAAAAAGGTGTCAGTAAAAACCAAAAATCACATCAATTCCATTGACTTCACAGGCCGCCATCGTCACGTGACCAGAGCCGACCGTCGATTTTCTTTTATTTTGCTACCCAATCACATATTTGCCCAAATCAAACACACTTTATTGCGTTTGTGATCATATTCCATTTTCCTTTATTTGATTATATTCACTTCTCTTCTTTTTTTGTTGTTTTTAAGATGGATTTTTCAATAAATTGGCTTTTAATATGTGTGTGTGTGTTTAGTTTGCATATTTAATTAGAAAAAAGGCACATCAAATAATCTTGAATAGGTTGTTTTGTTAGCGTTGGAAACAATATTAACGCGGTTACATACGCATTGTTCATTTACATTTGCACTTTTTTTTTCTCCCTTATTCCGTTCGTGTTTTATTTGCGCTCTCGCTTTTTTTTGTACATCACCAAAATCGGCTGCCGGGAAAATCTAATAATTCTGTTAACATGCTATGTGTATATACAGTGTAATTTTTATTTGCAGCTTTTGATTAAGTTTTTTTTTTGCTTATTTGCTTGTGTTTTGATTTGGATAAAAGAGTAACGGTTCTAACCACTAAACCTAAAACTTAACATCATTTGCAAAACGACCAATTCTTCTAAATTATATAATTCTCTTGCTTCCTTTATCTGTGTTTGCGGCAACGATTATGTTAGTAATTTTGTTGTTTGTTTGTTTGTACAGTTTATATAGCAGTTTGATGAGACCCACATACTGGTCATAACACTATGGAATTTGAACGTTTACATTTTCCCAAATAATTTAACTTTAAATATTTCCATTCAATAACAATCACTACGAATAATTTTGTGTTTTTTTGTTGTTGTTGTTATTTTCTTTGATCAATACATTGATGATGGCCAAGCATATTCAGTTTTTGTTGGATTTTGCAACCAGATCCATTTAGTACACATTCGATCTCTCGATTTGCGCACCTTTTCAATCTAAATCACTTGGATCCGTGTATGATGAAATTGTATCGTCATCATCATCATCATCATCATCACTAAAACTGTCACGGGCTTGCAGGAAATTCCATAGTATGACCCGCTGAAAAGAAAAAAAGAAGAAAAAACATCATTATCACATGAAAGGACAAAAAATTATTTCAATGATCATAATTGAAAATTCACACTTTTGGATGAAATGGAAATGTTGAACAATATTTTCTTGAAAACAATTTTTTTTTTTCTTATTCTCTAAAATGTCAGTTTTTACCATTTTTCAAAGTCTTGAAAAAAAATTCCAACATTTTCGAATGAAAGTTCAATTTTTGTTCATTGACCACATTTCACGGTTTTTTGCCACGAAGAATATCAAAAAAAAAAATTTTTTAATTTTTTTTCCAATTTTTTTTTTCAATTAAAATTAGAATCAAACAAAAGCAAATAATAAATCTGTAAATACGCAAATTGAATTCTTGAAATTTACCTCAACGATATCGCTTTCACCATGGAGATCATATCGACGACGCTGCTGTGGTATGCCAACATCAACCAATTCACCGCTTGGTAGAGCGTGTTTATAGAAACATTTGTTGCCAAATGGACACGTTCCTTCACCCTAAAATGAAAATGAGGACAATTTTTAATTTCTATTCTCGGATCATTTGCGCATCAAATTATAGTTTTTAATTGACATGTTGGCACAAATGTGTATGCAATATGAATTCAAATTCCAATTGTGACCATTTTATACTCGAATTCCAATTTTTATCCAATTTTTTTTTTTGGTTCGTATTTATGTCGTAAAGTTGGATTTTTTATATCCAAACTGCATTCAAATTGTTCGCACATACCCGATTAAAATATTTGCAGTTCTGTTGTTGCAGTGCCTCTTTGTATTCAGTCAGCAGTTTTTCCTTTTCTTCTTTTGTTTCCACCCAGTACAGACTGGGGCACACATAATGCGATTCAACACGGCACTCGGGACAGGCACGGGTGATGGTACTGTCGAAATTTTTCGCTTGTCGCCACTTCCGAATGCACGGCAGACAGAAAATGTGATAACAATTTGGCAGGATACCGAATCGATGTTCGCTGCGATTTGTCTTTTCCGTTATTACCTCGAAGCAAATGCCGCAGGTTTTATCTTTCGATCGTGCCACAGCAAACGAATGTTCCATATCTTTTTCCATCAGTTTCATGCATTCCTAAAATCGTATCAATTTCCTTTGAATTACTTTGATAAGATTCCGTCGAATTAGTTTTTAAGATGAAACTAGAGTTTTGTACAAATTTTTCAGTTTTTTTTTTTAAATACATTCTCTTCTTATTCAGTCTATTTTCTTTACTGCAGCAGATTGCATCACAATTCACAATTTCATAATTTCGAGTGAAATTTCATGTGTAAGAAAAATGAGTGATGAGTAATAGTGTAGGCTCGTCAGAACGAACCAATTTTCAACAAAACCGTAATTTCATGCACTTTCACCACAATCCACAATTAAAAAAGTATAAAGAAACGCCCATTTTTACCTTTTCGTGTGTTTTCCGTTGGTTTTGATCGGTGGGATGAAGACAGAACAATCCGCATATATCGCATAGATCGCCGTGCTGATACTGGCAACGTTCACCATATTTACAGCTAATAGTACCATCGGATTTCGTGATTGTGGATTGAATGTATGGGCAAAGGGTGGATGCCATATATTCCGGTGGTAAATTGTGTGTATCATTGAGCATTTCGGCACCGTTGCCGCTGTATGTATTACCCGAAACGATTTGAGCGTAAGAGATGTTTGTATTCTGGCTGTAATTCGAACAAAAAGAAAATAACAAACGAAATTTTTCAATAAATCTGTAAATTATCTAATGCAATTGGTTCAATGTAAATGCATTAGCTCACCTTGAAGCACCTTGATCTTCGTTGGTCGATTGGTCGGTGTTTTGGCTTACATAACGCGGTATGAACTCGGGGGCATCGATCCAGTTACGTGCAACTTCATTGGTTTCGGTGCAATGGCTGTTGTTGTTGTTGCTTCCATCTTCTCCATTTGTGTCGATGGTGGCGGGTGTAGCAGGTGGATTTTGAAGTGTATGCGAATTGCGACAAAAGTCACCATATCGACAATTCCCATTCAAAAAATACCGACACACATTTGGTGCTTGAGTCCAATTTTCTACAACACAAAATTTGCATCACCATTATTAAAAATTACACCGAACGAAACATGAAAAATATGCACTGTGTTGCCTCCCCCCGTTTCTCTCTAGTGTCACTTACGTTCTGTTGATTCAGCAAAATCGGTGTCCAACTCGTTGTGATCGTAGTGGTCATTGTGGTTTTGTGTATGATAGACATATGGGTAATCAGCGATTGATGGGATGCTCATGATTTCACTTGCTAAAATAGTTCGAAACGTATATTGAATATTGCGAAATAGCACGAACGATATTGCTCAATAATTTGAATGTCAAATGTATGTGTTTGCTTGACAAAAAAACTGTACTTACTACTTTTTCTTCCCTTTTTTTTATTTTCAATCACAGAAACGCGTGCTTTCACGACTCAATCGAGAGAAATCCCTTTTCTTTTTGGGGATTTTCAGTTCCCAGTACAAGCTCAACGAGTTTTCGTTTCGAGACCGATTTTTTTCAATGTGGAATGGCTCGCACACTCAAATTGAGTCGTGTTATTTGATAATGCACTTCTATTTATTTTTATTTTTTTTTGTCAGAACCTGGCACATCTTTCAAAAGTGAGTGCATTCAATGACAATCCAATTCGGATGGAATCACTTCTTTTGTGCGCCATATTTCCGATAGATGGCGCTCATTCACTTATTCCAAAATAACCTATTAGTCAATAGACTGACATTTCAGTAAATGTTACCTAACTAGCATGTGAATTGATAAAAGTTCCGCATTTTTTGTTTGTTTACATTATACAGTGAGTGATTATTTTCATAGCTGACCATAGCGAAAATAGCGAGAAAAAAAAATCAAACGCGTCCAATCACAATCGGCAATATGAATGCGAAGCGAATTTTCATTAGCTCTAACTGATTTGGTTTTCTCACGGGAAAATCATTTAAACCATTGCCATATTGTTCCTTTATTTAAATTTTTTTCTGCGTAGTTTCGGACTGTGGTATTGGTATACAGCAAACCGAATGATGAAAATGTTTGCAAAAAATCAATGCACAACCTTTGTGCGGCTATTGATGTGCCCGCCAAAAGTAACGCTCTCTGCGAAACGATCCATTCACAATTATGATGAAATTTATGCACAAACTAAAACGCTTTTTCTATGTAAGTGTTTTCTTGTTGTTGCCATTCTTTAACCACTTTTTATGGCTATTGTGTTTTAGCATGAACAACCGTCGCTGTTTTTTACTGATTTTCTTTCTTTGACTTTAGCCAAAAAACTGCCGAAGAACGTAAATAAGACTGCTGTTTTTGCTTGCAATGAACTCGATCTTGAAGAGATTCAAGTTTATGGCTTTGACTATGATTATACGCTGGCTTGTTATAAGAAGTCATTGCACTATCTGTTGTATGATTTGGCTCGCGATATGCTCGTTGAAAAGCTGAAGGTAAACTGATTGACAATTGCACAAGAAAATGAGTTGAACGATTATTTTTTTCTCTCCTCTTAAATTGGGTCTTGATAATAATCAATCATTATTTTATAATCAGATGAAACATTCAAACGATATCAAATCGACTTTTTCAAACTGTTTCTTATCATCAAGGCCCAATCGACCTTGAATTGAGTATTTTTCATATTTTCATAATTTTATTGATTTTTTTATTCATAAAAACGAAATAATTTTGCACTCATTTCATCGTTTGTTCTATACCATCGAAACAGTACCCCGAAGCAATAAAGAGCCTAGAATACATGCCTGGTTTTGCCATTCGTGGATTGCATTATGACATTGAAAAGGGTTTGCTGCTCAAGCTTGACTCCTTCCTGCAGATTCAATTGGGATCGGTTTATCGTGGTCTCACACCTGTGAGTGATGCTGAGGTTATTCGACTCTATCGCAACCGTGTTGTTCCATTGGGTATTTCATTCATCAATTTTCGTTAGAACATCAAAACTAAGACACATTTTTTCATTCTATTTTTTAGCTTACGTCGAAGGTGCTTCGAAAACTCAGGTGAGAAACAGTATCGCATTGGAGAATATTTTCACCCTTTTTTTTACAAATGTTCAATTTTTTGAACGAATATTCTCATATTTGAACATTGCTTTCAATTTGTTTTCAATTTTCAAACTGATTTTCCGATCTGTAAAATACATTCTATAGTATGGTCGCGGTAAGATGGTGCAGCTGGCTGATTTATTCTCGGTGCCCGAGATTAGTCTATTGTGTAATGTGGCGGAATATTTCGAAAAAGAGCAACTCAATTACCATCCAGAGATTCTCTTCAGAGATGTCAAAGTAAGACCAGATTGAATGCCTCAAATCAATTCGAATTCGAATTTGGTTTTGGTTTTGGTTTTGGAAACTCTAAGTCATAAGCCACATGAACATTTGCACGTTTCAATATTAATTGGGTTTGTTTTTAATCCGAGATTGATTAATGAATTTTGCAGCGTTCAATGGGAGCTTGTCACCCAGTGATGCATGGAATTGTATCACAAAACGTGGATAAGTATATCGAAGCAAATCCAAGACTTGAGCCATTCTTCAAGCGCCTTAAAGATGACAATAAACAACTATTTCTTGTTACAAACAGTCCGTATCATTTTGTGTAAGTTCAACAATTTGATTCTATCAAAATTAAATTCTAATTTGATTTTCAAATTTTCCAACAAACTCAAACACTTTGAACTACTACAGAAACCAAGGGATGAATATGTTAGTTGGTCAAAATTGGAAGGACTACTTTGATGTAGTGATTGTTCAAGCACGAAAACCGAGCTTCTTCACCGATCAAACGCGTCCGTTCAGGGTATTTGACACCAAAACTGGAACACATTTATGGGATCGCGTCTGTAATTTTGAACGTGATAAAACCTATTTCGAAGGCACTGTGAAACAGTTACAGGAACTTATGAATTGGTCCGGCCATGAAGTATTGTATTTCGGTGATCATCCGTATTCGGATTTGGCCGATGCTACTCTCGAACATGGCTGGCGAACGGGTGCCATTATCAGCGAACTCGATGTAAGTGAGAACAAGAATTCACCAGTTTTGTCATAGAAAAATGAGCGATTTTACGAGCAAGTTCAATGTTGCGTGGCGCAACATGCACGTAACTGATAAGCAATGCCTCATTAGCATTACCTATTTGAAAACGATAAGCAAATTGAGTTTTTGGCAAAAATTAGAAAATGTTACATTCAAAATGAATTAAATGTCCACTGCGACAAATAAACTCCCTCAGAATAATTGTGAAATAAAGCGAAACATGGACTTTGTCTACGAACAAGGACCAACAACGCAAGATTTTGAACCGAAGCAATACAAAGCAAAAGTGAGAAACAAAGTGCAACATAACGAATCATGGTGCAGTTTGAAGCCAAAACTTGCTTTGTGCCACGAAGTTTGTTGCTCTTTGCTCGTAGACAAAGTCCATGTTTCGCTGCATTTGTCAGGTATTCTGAGAGCACCTTTCTGTTGCAAATGTTCAAATAAAGAAATGGAATTTAATCGATACTTTCAGCATGAAATCGATACTCTGAACAAGCCTGAGTTTAAACAGAATGCAAACTGGTTGCAAATGCTGACTCAACTCATCGAAGACTATCAAGATATTGACACAGATGAGGCGAGAGCAGCTCTTTGTAAATGGAATACTGAACGGGATCAACTTCGGTAAGGAAAAATTCAGAAGAAAATGAGAAATTGCATGATTTTTACAAAATGTATGCCTAGAACAACGCTGTGAAGCACAATGTTATTACATTCAACAGATCCAAAACCTTTCAGAGTTATGTTTGTCCCAATCGGAAGTTCACTAACATGAATCATGAATGACGTTTGAAATGCCATTTTTGACAAATAAAATTTCCAATATTTGGGTAAATCTTGTGACGAAATCATTTAATCAAATTTCCAAACTCTACCGTATAGATGCTGCCAGAGCATCATTTGCTGAATATCTTCCATTTACGATTCATGTTGTTGGCCTAGAATTTTGTCATTTCGAAAAATACGACTTTCATTTGAACGCGTGAGAATAAAAGACTGACGCTACCAGGTTTTTCGCAAAAGCGGGATAAAAATCAGTTGCACGCAAAAGAGACATTTCAAAAGGTTGCACGCAAGAGAGAAGTATATTGTTGTTGTAATCACGGCTTTAAAATTCAAAATGCGACAAAATAAAATGTTTCGTTTGCGTATAACCTTTTGAAATGTCTCTTTTGCATGCAACTGATTGTTATCCCGCTTTTGCGAAAAACCTGCTAGCGTCAGGCTTTTATTCTCACGCGTTCATTTGTCGATTGTTCCATTGGTTTTTTCAGATTGATTTTTTTTTTTTTTGAAAAATTCCCGGAATTTTTGAAATATTTTTTTAAATTTTTATTTATATTCTGCATTGAAAAATTTGAGGTTGCCACATTTGCAATTGATTTTCTTTTTCCATCCACAGTCAAGCCACAAAACGAGTGTTCAACAAGCAATTCGGAAGTGTATTTCGAACTTATAACAATCCAACGTATTTTTCGAGGCGTTTATTCCGTTTTTCGGACATATACACCAGCAACATATCTAATATAACCAATTACTCGACGGCGCATACATTTTATCCTCGTCGTGGAGTCATGCCTCACGAATACTCATCGCTATTCTTATAAAAAAAAATCGCTTCGTTTTTCTGCTCGCAACCATTGCAAGGATCGCAGTGCAATAATAATTGAATTTGTGCCAAAATGTGTGAAACCATTTCACTTGCTACCATTTTGTTGTGTTTTTGAGCATTTAAAATGTGTTCGTCTAGATCATTGTAGAATTAGTTATCATGTTCCTCGGTTGTCCATAATCACTAGCACCGACTATAATATATTCAATTGTATTTTATTGTGTATAGAAAAATATTATCCGAACACACAAATTGTATTAAATTGCATGCGAAAAAAAAACACCGAACAATAATTAAATTTAGACAAATGTTGCTTAAAATCTGAAAACGTTCATCATTCTTTTTATTTATTTAAATAAAACAAAAACAACATTTCAATTTGACAAAACTGAACGTTCAGTTGGATCAGTCGAAATTTGGCCGAATGTCAAAATCGGGTGTTAACTGTCACCGTTTAAATAAAAAAAAATTGGATTCGTCTGATGAAGGTAACCGGTCTGTCTTTGGACTAGCTGTTTTGGGAGTCATGTTGGCTTACGTTAAAATATCAATAATCTCAGAGAGTCGGCGCTATTTACATAGAATTACATGATGCCAAATGGATTGCCATCGATCGTGCTTGTTCAAACAGTACATACAGAAAAACCATGAAATTCCTAGCAAATACTACAGATCATTACGCCATCCAGGCGGTGGAGGTGTTTTGCCTTTCGAATACTTTTTATAATCTTTATTTTTGTAGTCTTTGTCCGATTTGGATGAGGAGGAACTGGTCGGTGCACAGTAACAGGATCGTTCCTGTGCATCCAAATACGATCGACAGCCCAGTGTTATTGTGCCGGTGAATAGCATTTTGGCAGCCGCTTTACATCCCTTCGCCACTACCGATCCAATCGTTGATTTTTCATGTGTGTCACAGTAATTGTAAAGGCATCGCTTAAATTCTATATCACATAATTCTTTATCCTTGTTGCATGTGTCGTAGCAAATGTCGTGATCATTGCAGCAATTTTCCATCTCAACCGCTGGCAAGTATTCCGTATTGATATTCAAACCCAAGGAACCACATCCTTTATTTTGAAAGAAAAGTTAAAATAACAAGGTAATATAAAAATAAAGTATAAAAAGCAACAAAAAATAATATTTAAACCAAATTCGAACAAAATAATTACCATTGGCCGATGGAATGTAGAATTTATTTCGAACCGGCGATACATCTGAAAGGAAACGAGAAGAATTTTAGTTTTGTTTGATTATTTTCATACGTTTTCGGAATATGACGAAATTCAAGGAATAGAAACCGATGTCTGATGAGAAAAACTCATGAATTCTTTTTCATTTTATGGCAAAATTGTTGAACTAAAGAGAAAAAAAATCGCACATTCTGAACAACTGAATTTGAAAAAAAATTCGTGAGTCCAAAAAAATCTTGAATTTGAACGAAAATTCAAGAAAACATCATGAAACTCGAACAAAAATTTTGAAATCTAAAAAAAAACATGATGAACAAATCACTTGTTTACCTCCAGGACATTTAAACACGCACGTTTCCTCGACCGCTGCATCAAACACTGAATGAACGGTTTGAAATTTGCGTGCGACATGAATGAGATTTTTGAAGACATCCCCAAACACCGCTTCGGCCGCAATGATTGCATCACGCAAATTGTGGATTATATTGGAGCCATAGCCCGAGTAAGCGTACGTTAAAAATGTTAACGCATAAATTGCGATTCGCATATAGTTCACCTGCATTTTTAATTGTTTGCTCTTTCGATTTCAATGATCACCAAAACGGTATCTCTGTCTATTTTTGATCGGTCTCAATCACAAGTTTTCTTTCGTCGTAATTTTTTTTTCTACTATCTGTGATCACTTCCTGATGGTTACACGTAATTTGTACAAAATTTTTACTTGTTTTGTTCCTGACACAAATACTTGTTATTACCAAAATTTATTTTAATTGAGTCATGTTTGGATTTGATTCTTTTTTTTCTTTCGGATCGGATTTAGGTGTCGAATGACATTTCGGTGTAAAAACACGTAATGTTTTGATGTGACATTTGGCTGAAGTACATACGGAATTTGGCGCGCGATATTTGAAGATTCATTGTGAATATTCAATAAATTCGGTGTTCTTTTGTGCATTTCACAAATTAGGAATTTCTCAAAAGCATTGACAAGAAAAAAGTGTGGACAATTTTTCTTTTGTGAAGACACAACTTGACCGTTCAATTAGGAAAGTTTGATTCAAGAAACGATAATTCATTCATTTAACACACAATTCATTAATTATGACCTTTTTTCTGTGTGTTTTTTCTGTGCTATAAAAATAGACACGTTTATTTATTCATGTGTAAGATGTTTCCATTCGTCCATTTAAAAAAAATCCATTTTCAGCACCCAAAATTTCAAATGCCATTCAAAAGACGCAACAATTTTGTGTTTCGAAATGAAAAAAGAAGCATTTTTCAGCCCATAATTTAAATCTATTTCTGAACACTCAAAGTGAATCTAGGACAAGTTCGAAGCAAATGTGCATTTGTTTCCGTATGCGATAGATGTCGCTGCTGATGTCATGTCAACATTTGTGCATTGACAGAAGCGTAGACAGACGAATTTTGCAATGTCGTATGGAAGCTTCGCAATCAAACAAATACACAAAGAGAGTGGCTCAAGAAAGAGAACCGAGAGAGCATCGTTGTGTATATCGACTATTGGGAGCACAGTATATAAAACAACAGAAAAACTTATTTTGTATGGCGTTGTTGTGTATGTGTGGTTGTTTTTCAATTAGTGTGTTTCAGGTTTTTTTTCTCTCTCTATATCTTGTCTTAGCTGTATGCTCAGTATGCGTTTGGCATAGCATCGACGAGTCTCACATCGGACAAGTATAACATCTGAATAAAGTGAAATTTTGTTTTTCCTTCATCTCTTCCCTCCACGGATTTGTTTCGTTTTTTTCTCTTCGTTTCTTCTGTTTTATTTTTGCACTGCTTACTTTTACCAGCAATCGAGCTGGAGGCCAACAGACCAATCAGCAGTAGCAACATAACGCGTACCAAAGTGAATGAAAAAATCAAACTATTTGTATTTCCCTCATCAAAAATAAAAGTCCATGGAAAAAACAAGAAGCAACAACTAAACTAAATAATTGAAAAAAAAGGGAATCACAGTGTCAGCAAAATTGCAAGGCGATTTTTTGAGACCATCGGAAAAAGTAGTGCTTTGTGTGTTTTAAAAAAAAATGTTGCGATTTGGATAGAGTGATAAATGACAATTGCAAGATACCATCGAATTAATATATACACGAAACGAGAGCAAGCCACCACCAACAATAACAGCAGCACAACTAACAACAACAAAAATTCAGAGAGACTACACAATTTCATGTGTGTTGCGTGTTAACTGTTAAAAATTGAAATGGGAAACATGTGAAATGTGGTCGATTATTTGTTATTTCTTCGTTCTTTGTTCGTGAGCGCCCGTTTCATTCGTTTAGCAATGAATAATTTAACAAAAGGCACACATAAAATGAAAGTTCAGTCATACGTAATAGCCATCGAGAGATGCATTTGTTTTGATTCCTATTGAATTGGCGACAACGACAACCACGACCACGACAAATGTGACAATTTATTGCTTTATGAAGGGGTTTTTGTAAGCAATCAAACGCCAATTTATTGTTGGCTAAAAGCAATTCGTGCAAACATATTTACACGAAGGATTTCCAATAAAAACACACACACATCTATCCGCTATTTGCTGTGCGCTCTGTTTTTCGCATGAATAAATCTGATAAACACGGAGCTTTATCTCACAAATCCAACTGACACAAAAGAGCCGAAGACGTGACAGAGTGACTGAAAGAGAAAACGTCAGAACGAGAGCGAGAGAGAAATAGAATGGTTTGGATGTACCTGCAATAATCCATTCTCGAGCTAAAAAAGAAAGTACCAACGCATTCATATTGCCAGTGTAATGTTTGATGTGCTTCAAAGTACTTGTGATCTTTTGATGTGTTCTATTCACTATTCTGCTACAACTGGCTGCGTGATGAATTTTTTTTTTCCAAGAAGTCATAGAAGAATAACATAAAAAGCTTTAACCAAACACGCGCAGCAACAAAACACGAAAATAAAAAGTGCAGTGACAAAATCCCCAAAAGGCACGTGAGAAAGCCACGAAGAGAAATAAAATAATATCAAAGAAAAGAAGACGAAGAATATGTGCTAAAAACTATTTTCACGACCGGAACAATGACATCGCGGAAAATGTGCTATTTGCATCATTTGTTCTCACTGTGAATTGGCGAAAAATACACCACTATTCGGAGTCAAGCACATTATTAATTATGTTCGCATAACGCCATAAAGGCACACAATTCAGTTATTTTTCTTTCATTTGTTTCGGTTTTGTCGGTGGATCGGTATCGGTATCTCTTTTTAACACGCAGTTGTTGCCATCGATAAAAGTTCGCGTGTGTTACAATTTATTTCTGTTGTTGTTTTTTTCTTCTCTGTTGTGTATTTCGTTGTGTTTTTGTTTGTTTTGGATTGCCAATCAAAGTGTATGCTACTATTTGTTGTTGCTTCAAGCAGACACACGCGGAATAACGGAAGGGAAATTCCCCGAAAAAAAGGCCAACAAATAAACAAAAACAAAAACAAAAAGAAATCGCTGTAAATAGTTCGAAGAGTGAGAGATAGAGAACACAAAATAAAATGGGCGAGAATGGTCAAAATGACAATACCAAATACAATGAAAACACCGAAACGGGCACATCATCGGCGAAAAATCAAACCCAATCTCAGCAGCAGCAGCAGCAGCCGTCACAACGACAAACAACCACCAATCGTTTTGCTGATTACTTTGTTATCTGCGGCTTAGATCTTGACACGGGCCTTGAACCTGACCGTTTCGCTGGTACGTATTCATCACCCATCGATACAAACACACCATTTTTAAGTGACCACGATACATGCCTTTTATTCAAACCAGTACATACAATTAAACCGTAAGTCTAATAGACATCTGCGCAATTGATACATTCGATATGGGATATATGACGTGATCACTTTCGCGCCACTGGTTTTCACAAATTAACCAGTTCGCCATGTTTCTCCAACACAATCAGAACTCGATCGGACTTAGTTGCTTCGAATTGCAGCTACTGCTTTTTGCTACTCTTTATTTTAGCGGCTGCTTTGTTTTTCTTCGTTAATTACCCAGCGCACACTTTCGCTACGTCATCATGTGTCGAAATTGTGCGAAAAAAATTGTGTTGTTTTCATATCAAATGTTTATGGTTTCATTGCGCATTTGCCGTGTTTTCAATCACATTGGCGAAAGCCAGCCAGTCAATTCCGACTTAACAGCCACTTTTATTGTCTCTTTGCTATAGTTTACTTAAGCAAAACAGACAAAATAAACAAATACTCGCGTCGCTGTTTTGTTTTCTACTTCTTCAACATTTTATTGAACAGATACATATCAATTTACAATGTGGTTTACCGACGATGACGACGATTTCACACTTTTGAATCAAAGCTCAATTTCGGTTTTTATTTCCATTGAATTGCCGATTATAAATTCACATTATCTGGCTACAGCTCAAAGACGCCAAATTGATGTATTTCTCGCACTTGTTTTCTTCTTCTTCTACTTCGGCTCAAAGTTTTTCTTTTTCGCTTCTGTTCAAAGTTGTTGTTTTTTTTCTTTCGCTTTTCCACTCCAGTTCGGAATTGTTGAAAGAGAAAGAAAAAAAAGCGATTTCAGCGTTTTGTTGTAATTTAATTAAATGAAAAAAGAGAAATTCTCTTGCGAAGGACAATGACCATCGAATTGCTGTTGCAACATTGTTGCAATCCATTTGCCACAAATAATCAACTTATCAAACGAATGAACAAACAACAAATGTACGCATTTAATCATCATCATCATATCTCCGTACGTTGATTTGCATTCGTGTGGCATCGACGTGCGGGCTGCTTTTTTAATTTTCTGCACTAATTTTTTTCTCTTCTTTGGTAAATGGCGTGCGAAAACGTTTCAATCAAACGCATGAATTGGCAGCAACTAATTAATTCACATGCAGCTATCGAAACCCATTTCCGCTTCGATGCGATTGATTTTTGCGGTTGGAGCTTCGTCCAGGGCGGGCGCATACCATCAATACAGAAAATGCATATGCATCGCCACTTAGCAAAAGTGCAATCATTTAATTGACTTGCAATGGAGAAAAAAAACAAACACATTCAAACTGTGCACTTTGTTTTTTCCCTTCAATTATTGATCGATTAACGCTTGTTGTAATCGGGCATTATTTTTTTTTCTTTCTGAGCTGGAAAACTGTACTAATTGATCATTTACCGCCACTTTGATGATGATATCACTTTGATATTTATCAATTGCATTCCGGTAATTTCTCGGTTAGAAACCAATTGTACAATTTGAAAAGAAAAACTAGCAAAAAAATTGGTGAGTTCAAAAATACGGCAAGTTCATTAACTGATTTACGGATTGTTGTTGCCGCTAGTTAAATGTTGCGGCTTTTTTTTAAACTTTACTTTTTTTTAAACAAACATGAAATTCGTGGGAATTCAGAATGGTTTAAATGTCATTTGCCTCGACTGGTTTCTACCGTATAAAGACATCACGCCAAATTCTAATTGTCTAACAGAATAACATTTTGACACTATTTTAGAATCATGATGCAAGAATTTCATTCCAAGAAGACCGCATTTAAAATTGTCGTATTTTCATCTTTGTGGGAATTGACACGATCAAAAATTTTTTTTTTGGCTTTAATAGCTCACGAAACAGTTTGAAGGTTTGAAATTGTTGACATTGGGTTAAATTGATTCAAATGACCCAAATGACTTTAACGATCGGCCACTGTCTTTGCATTCAGATAGAGAAATGCTCAGACAACAATGCATTCAAATCGTTCAGTCAAGAGAATTAGTCATACAATTCCATAGTATGGAATCGAATTCCGGAAGATTAACAACCAATACTGTTCAAATATATTTCCTTTGTTGTTATTTGAATAAATGACACAAGCCCGGCGCACAAGTACACATTTTAAAATAAACATTGATTATTGTTAACTTTATTTTTAAACGATTCTCGAGAAAGCAGCTATCAATTGTTTATGTTTGCTTTTAGTATATATCATTTAAACAAATACATCTGTTGTTTGAACGAACGAAAATCTCGGAGTTTGTACTTTTCATATTATTATCACAATTGTCATGATTTATGGACAATTTCCGAAGAATGAACCTACCGCATACTTCAAATGATAATCATTTGTGTCTCTTGATTTGTTTGTAATGATGAATTTGATTGAAGAGGCAAAAATTATTGAATTGGACGTACAAAGAATCATTTTGTAAATAAAACACGTATAATGTTGTGATGTGTCATAAATACTGTCACTAATAAGCTGTTACATTGACAATACGTGGGCAAGGGAGTGAGTTGGTTCGGTTTTATACACTTAGTATATGATTTTAAACTATATCCTATCAGTTCATGTGGAGAATTGAGGACCTTTTTTGGCTCGTTATTTTTGCTCCGGAGACAACTCGTTTTTGATGGACTTTATACTAGATAACAATTTCCAACAGTGATGATTTTTTTTAAAGTCTTCTCTTTCTTCTGACACTCCATTTTGAAAATTCAGATCCCTCTGTGGCAAAAATTATACTTCCCACCTGGGATTCTCTTCCTAATATATGATTTTCAAACTTAAGTTAGGCAATTGCCCAAGCCCAAATTGATTCAATACCACTTATGTTCATCAACTGAAGAATTTTATGTAAAATGAAATGTTATTGCCTGGAAAATAACTCTTCAATCAAGGCTAACGTACAATTTTGAGTAATTGACTAATTTGGTTCAAATGGTTTTAATTTTCTCTTTAGGCGATAGTCTTCATTGTCCCCCATTGGATCGAGCTTATAAGAGTAAATCATTGTCACATTATCCCGAGCATGTATCATGGAATCCGTTCGATAATCACGGCATCTGTATGCTGTCACTGCCGCAAGGTCTACGATTTCGTACACAAAAACACTCCATCGAACCGCATTTCCATTCGTTTGCGACAACACGCGAGGATGGCAAACGATGTCATGGATTCAGTTTGATATTTTATGAGGAGGTGCGCAATCAGGATATTTGCAATGCAATGCATACGCTTCAGGTAATATCATTTGTTTTTATTAATTGTTTTATGATCAACAATTTATTCGCATATTTTTAAGGCTTCACTTTTAAATGCGCTTTTTTTTCTCGAAAATTAAGCGTATTAAAAGTAAAATCGAATCTAAATTAGTATTCGAGTTAAAAAAAAAATTACATAAAAAAGAGAGATTGAGACCGATTTTAATCAACTCAAGAGCAAATCCGACAATTTCCATAGCAAAATTTAATGCAAAATTGTGTAAAATGTTTATTTTTAGTCGATGTTCATGACAGAACTGTCGAACGGACAGTCGTCGCCAGGTCTGCAACGTGTAAAAGATAGCCCGATATGTCGGTCATTACCGCGACACTTTAAATTGGCAGCAAATACACCAGCCGCAGCAATGAGCTATTACAAAATTAACAAGGATAAATTGTATGTGGCGAAAAGTATATCGCTTGTGTGCCAGGTAGCCTACGCTCACGTTGCGGAGATATTCTTAACCAATTTATACAAGTGAGTGAGATTAATTTTTTTTTAATGAAAAAAATTATTTGCGGCCAATTTGCTGAATTTTTTGAAAATTTGGATCGAATTTCCTCGTTCCATTTCTTTCTCATGTACAAATTTCATGACGAAATTATTTTCCCCTTATCAAATGTCCGAAGTTTTTTCTAACAATTTTTCCTTTTCATTCATATGTCTTCTTTCGCAGATGTCTTCCTCGTCAGCCGGGGCCAAGTTTGAGCCTTGAGAGTTATGTGTATAACATTTTGTATGAAGTGATAATTCCAGAGCCGGGTCGTTCGATCCGAATTTATTTACCACCTGAAGAACCTCATTTACCTCCAATTCCCACAATTCTACAGCGGCCTGGCCTTTCCGATGAATTACCTCTTATGGACTTTCCAATTCGTTTGCTATTCACTTACATCGGTGTTGAATGCGTGATACAGCTCTTCACATGTGTTTTACTCGAAAGTCAAGTGCTTCTTCGTTCATCTGGTATGTTGTTTGTATTGCCTATGTGCATTTCATTTATACGCTCAATTAGTCGTGCTAATTATTATTCTCTTCGTTTACTTTTCAACGCACACACACACGCACACAGATTATCAGAAGCTCATGATTGTCGGTGAATGCATAACGGCGCTACTGTTTCCATTTGTCTGGCCCCATGTTTATGCACCGATACTTCCAGTGGCGCTCCACCACTTCCTAGATGCGCCCGTACCATTTGTGATGGGTTTGCATGCCGATTCGGAAAGCTACTTGAAAATCGGTAACGAAGCCACTCTCTGCTGTGTTGATATTGATAAAAAGACGATTCAATTACCTGAGGAGCTGCCGTTGTTCCCGCATCGAAGTGATTTCATCGCCGAGATATCGGCCATTTTGGACAAATCCAATGTGAACTATCGTGATAAAAGCGTTCGCGATGCGATACAGTCAATGTCAAGCCAAATGACCAACAACAGCTCCATTGCATCGACCATTTTTTCCTCAAGGGTAATTATGTTTTGAAGATTTTTCTATGCTGTTGCCAATTGCAACTCTTTTTTTTCATCAATCATTTTCATTTTCATTGAACGTGACATTTATGTGCCATTTTTCTTAGAAGTTTTTCCGCTTTTGCTTTCTTTTCTGTCTTCTTTTCATTTTTCATTCGAGAACACTTCAATTTCTTTACATTTCGTTCCAATCCACAAAGTTTTTACTCTTCTATCCGCCTTTCCCATAACTACTTTTTTTTGCTAAAATTGAATCTTTTTCTTCTTTGCAGCGTTCGGATGACGTGATGACATCCAGTTGTACACTGCCATCGGGAATGCATACGAGGCGAAAGCTGTCGTTGCATGACACATTCGACTGGGACCGTCCATCGTCACCAAATGCATTGGATGGACAAACGCAACCGTTGTTGGCGCCCGAACCAAATCGAATTACCCAAAAGCCACCACTGAACAATGCAGCGCTGCCGCCACGAATCGGTGATATTATGCGACGCAGTGGCGTTGGCATCGACGATATTGACTGTAGCACCGATGTGATGCCAGCCAAACGAAGAGGACCGTTGTCCCAACATGAACGCTACTGTGAAGACCTTCGACTAAACAATTCCGTTCGCGAAATATTTTTGAATCGTTTCGTTCAAATGTTTGCAACGTATGAGCATTTTGTCATTTTGCCAAATCAAGATAAGAACGAATGGCTGACCAACCGTGAATCGCTGCAGAATTTCGATAAAGCCTCATTTTTATCCGATCAACAACAGCATCATCGACCATTCTTGAGCCGATTCTTGGAGAGTCAAATGTTTGCCACGCTCATCGACAATAAAATCATGGCCATGTGGGACAGTGACATCGATTCAAATCTTAAACTCTTCGATAGCCGCATCAAAATACTCAAGTTCGTACCATTGATTAATCACGTGGAATCATTTCTAATACAGTCGTTACGCAATTATAGATATGTTTTTTTTCCTCTCGAATTCGACGGCCTTGATATTTCACAATGATGCACTCGAACAGTTTTAATGCACTCCATTTCCAAATTATTCATCCGGAATGGATTCATTTTGTATCCGAAATCATATGGGCACACTCGAATGCAATCAATGAAATCGAATACGTTCAACGTGGAGAAACAGACGTTCTTCAAGTTTTTGAACAACAATTCGTTGAACACATGTTCTCTTAAATTATACAAAAAAAAATGTGGACGATTTCCGCCATGTTTCATTCACCATTTACGTCAAATATGACGAAAGAACCAAGCATTTTTCGTTCAAACTAATCATTAGTTGAAAACGATTTATTGCTAAATTGACTGTGACAAATTGTGCAAAAAATGTCTCAAGTAGTTGGTCTTTGAACGGAAAATCGAAATATTTCTTAATTATAACGAATTTCGACGAAAAATCGAATAATTTTTGGCATTTGAGATAAATCAGAAGAAAATATTTGATATTTTGAATTTTGGAAACCAACAAACGAAAAATCTCCAACGTATTATGTTCAAAAAGAAAATACTTCAATCAGGCCGACTCGAAAGAATTTCCTTCAAAAGAATGTATTCATTTTGTCGAATCAAAAAATCATTAAATTCACTCAAAATCGTAGTTTTCAATTCTTTTTGACTTATAAACAATTAAAACTACTCAAGAAGACGATTTAAATGATCATTTTCGCTATTTTACAGAAAACGACACGGTGGCGACAATATGATCCGTTCAGCGCACTATGAGCCATGCATTTTAGCCCGTGAGACGCAGCGATTTTTGGACAAGCGATTGATCAATGTGGATATGGAAGTGACAGCACCGAGTGAAATTCTACCAAATCGACCGGCGTATTTCCGTAGTTTTCCGATTTTGGAAAAGTCGGTGTTGAGCCAGGAGTCAGCCTCTAGGTAGTGTAGTTTCCGAAAAACAAAAAACACATTCTAAAAACACACACCAATTCCGAATTGTAAAGTGCAACATCTTCGCGCATTTATTTGACGCATCCACACTCAGAATCTTTTGTTGAACCTATATTTTTTTTTCCCCCTCAATTAATGATTATCTTCTTTTTTTGTATAAACATTTTTTTTTTGCTTTTCTTAACTGGTTTTTCTATTTTATTGCTAAGTGTTCACCTTTTTTTGTAGTATTTATGCAAAACGCATATTTTTGTGCAACAAAAAAAAAGAATGAAGAAAGATCGTTTGATAATTGTTAGTAACTCATTTAATTGTATATTCTGCTATTCAAAGTTGAACGCATTTTTTTTGGTGATATTGTTTATTTGCGATGCAATAATAATTGTCTTTTGTGTGCATGATTAAAGCAAAACAAAAACAGAAAATGCATGGTGATGCTTCGTGATTGAACTAGACTTTTTCAATATTATTTCGCGATTTAAGTGGAATCTCTTTTAAGAACTGAACAATTCAAAAGAAAAAAGCAATAGCATGAAGCAATTTAGCGGAGTAAGAAGAAGGAAGGAGCCTAAGCGTTTGGAAGCGTTTACTTAATAGATTCACCGAATAATACAATTGAAAAGAATAAATATTCGAATCTCTTGCTTTCATTTTCACATTCAACACGAAAATTATGCATGTATCATAACAAAAAAAAAAGCACCACCAGTGGATCTTTATTTTAATTTCATTCGAATGGTAAATCGATTGTGACAAAAGCAAATATGAACAAATGGAATCGAAATGCATGAATTATTCGAACAAAATTTTTATATTCACCCTGCAACCACTCAGCATGACAAAAATAATATAATCGTGTTATTTTTCTTTGTTCAATAAAGGCTTAATACTTTTATTATTTAATTTTATCGTAATTTTTAGTTAGGCAAAACTGTTTTTCAATTTAGTTTATTGGATTAAATTGCAAATTATATTTTTTCCACTAAAAATCAATTTTAATTCGTTTATTTTCTTTCATTTTATTTAACACATTTTCTATCCAGCGTTCGAGAATGTTTGAACACTTGGTCGAAAATGGGTTGAATTTTTATCGGTTGATTTCGTTATCTTGTGTGTTTGTTTTGTGCATAGTTGTAAATATTTTTCACTTTCGTCTTTGGAAGACACAATTTTAATTTCGTGAATTTCATTAGCTCGACCACCTTCGAATATAAGTCTAGCGCACAACAAGTGTTAAATTTGTCAATGATAAATCACGAAATCACATAGTGAGTATTAAATTTGTCTTGATTCACATTCCAAAACAGAGGCAACAGTTTGCGTCGCTTTAAAAATGGTTCGAAATGGCGCACCAAAGAGATTTCCATCGATGGAAAACCGCCAACATTCAGCTCGAGCAGTGCGGCTGCTGCAGCAGCAAATCGAAATTCAGCCAATCTAGCAACAACAGAATTGAGCCCCGCATTGTTGGCACAAGCCAATTGGACATTTGTTGAGAAATTATTGAAAGTTAGTGTTTGTTCTCGTTTTTGTCTCTTTTTTTTTTATTTTTTGTAAAAAAAAAACGAAAATATTTAGAAGTCGCCACATTTGAGAAAATGTATTCTACCACTGAATTGACATTTTTTACTTCCAAAGTAATAAATTCCAGTTCAAATGTTTACCTTTTCATTTTGTTTTGCTTACATTTCCGAAAAAAATTTCTACAAAAATGCTCAATGTTTTGAAATCCACAATTTTTCCCTGTTTTTTAACTTTTGCTTAGGATTGCAAAAGTAAAACAAAGCGAATGCTTCTGGAGAAGATGGGAACGGAGGCGATAGCGCTTGGCCTGAGCGGCGAAGTGTCTGTCATTGGTGTGGAGGAGAACACAATGATTGCATCGCTGTGCGACCTCCTTGAAAAGGTCTGGTCCCATGGTTTGACCAATAAACAAGGCAAATCGGCACTCTGGTCTCATCTCCACTCATATTTGGACACTCATGACACAAGCAGTCATCCACCCAAAGACATTGATACCAATTTTCTTACACCAGGTAATTCACCACATTACCAATGTTTTTAACAAAACAAATTTTCAAAAAAATGCACTTTTATTCGCTGCCCGGAATTGGAACAGCTGTCGCTTGGAGTGCGATGCGGAAACGAATGGACTGTACGTGTAACATTATTAGAGTGGTTTAATATCATGTTTCATTGAGTTTTCGTTTGATTGAATTTATTTTATGTGTTGTTTTGTTTTGTTTGCATTCTGAAAGCTTCGTCCGAGCTTTGTATCAAGTGTGGTTTTTGTATTCACTAAAAAGCACCTTTCCCACCTGCATTGATCGATCAGTTGATTGTTTCATTCAAGTGGAGTTGGACTGTTTGTTTTTTTTTTGTTGATCGATTTGCTCATTTGATTAATTTTCCAAATCTGAATTTTGATGAATCGATTCAGATCTATCGTCACTTGCCATTGAGAACGAGTCACCACGAAGTCCAACCCGAGGCCGATCGAGGTCACGTGACAGAAGAGACTACACACCTGATCAACTGAAAGCGTTACCGGAATCACTCGAATTTGATATAAAGTGAGTTATTTTGAGATAAATTGAATCGTTCATGATTTTTACATTATTGCGTTGCATTTGCTGTTTTTTTTAAATATCGTTAAAGAGTTTATGTCAAACTCTTTAAAAACGCGACAAAATTCTGCGTATGAATTTTTTTGTGATATTTTACTTGTGAGAATATTGTAAAAAAGAAAAAACTGAATCGACCTACTCTTTTTGAATCGCAGAAATATATTAGCAATGACTGATGTCAAAACGCATATTGGATATGCACGCGCATGGGTTCGATTGGCGCTGGAGAAGAAGCTATTGTCGAAGCACTTCCGAACTTTACTATCCGACACAGCGTTACTTCGAACGCTGTACAAGCGCAACGCGTTCGTCCGGTGCGAAGAAGAGAAAGAACAATTCCTTTACCATTTACTTACGCTGAATGCTGTCGACTATTTCTGCTTCACCAATACTTATCCAACAACAAGTATGTATTCCAAATCAGAATGCTCCATTCACAAACATGGATTAAAATTCTTCCCATTTGAATAATACAGAGTTACCGTATCGAGTTGTGATATTTCCATCGAAAAAATACGGACCGGTGACGACCACCGCCAACGTTTGGGTTGCTATATCAGGAGCATTGTGTGAAACGCAACAAGTAACCATTCCACGCAGTTCACTCGAATTTGTATTCCATGTAAGTGTCATCGTTGACAAATCGAAACACACAATTTTGTGTGACACTGATAACATCAAACGTTTGATTCCACAGCACAAAAACATGGGAATATTAACGACACTTCGGATAGGTCACGACAATTCTGGCCCATCACCCAAGTGGATGGTCGAGCATATACTTGTTCGAAACGAAGTCACTGGCCATACGTACAAGTAAGTGAATGAAAAAAAGGACCGAAAATGAGTCGTTAAGAAAGAGTATTGAGAAAATGAAAGTGTTGTCGGTCGAAAGCCGTTTTATTTGAATGAAGAAGGAAAATTGTGAACTATTTCAAAAAAAAGACTATAAACATGATGATCTCGATTAATCAAAGACTAAACGTCTTTAAAGGCTTGTTTTTGGCACTAAATGAAATGTAGAGCTATTTGATTTGTTTGTTTTTCTGGAATATTCAGTCACGATATCTCGTGAACGTTTTCGTTTAAATTTTGGGCGTAGATCTGTTTTAGCCCAAGGATGTGCAGTGCATATCGGTGGTAGGTCATGGTAGACTGTGATGGCCGATTCTGAAAATCGGGTTTTTAGGCTGTATGCCTTGACCGATTTCATTCAAATTTTGAACGGAGATCTTTTTTGTTGTCCATTTGTACGTGAGAGACTCGTGGTAAGTCGACAACACTTTTTTCGGAAAACGAAAATCTTCCATGTAAAAAGAATGGAAAACGACAAATTACATTTTTTTGTAAAAAATCAAATCCCTAGCGTGCTTATTGAAGAATCTATAGACTTCCTCAAATACGAACTTACTAAGAACCACGGAGCTAAAAATTTGAATGATAAAAGCGTTCAAGTTTCCAAAGGAAAAATGATTTGAATCAGTGTAACGTCCGATGTGTTTATCTATAGCTGTGCTCACGATTTTTTTTATCAAGATATCGTAATAAACTAAAAATATCGTTCGATATCGTTATTATGATGGAATCTTAATAACGCTATCAACTTTTTATCAGGTTATTAACTATATTCAAATAATAACGTTATCGGATGAATCTTAATAATATCGTT